TGTTTTATTTAGTTCCGCCCATTGTTTTCTTGTTTAGGGAATACGCATTTTAAAAATGAGAACATACACCGCTTTTCATGGAATGGCACTAACGTGTCATATTGAAGTTGCTATGATAACCGCCGTGTGAGCACATCTGTGGATATTTCTTGATTCAAATGTTCACTAGTTTCGTATTTAAATGTTGAAATCTTGTCAAGAGGTTACTTGCACTTTCCAGTATGTCCAGTAAAAGGCTAAATGAAACTGTCTGAATAGCCTTTATGTTTTTGTCTTGTAAAGTTTATATGGATATGCCATTAGTGCCTTGTCTTCTCTCAATTATTCAAAAAATAAGATCTTTCTTGATATACATATATATTAAACATAATTATAAATTACTCATATTGTACCATTTCTAGAAAGATGTCAAGCGTCCTTTTCTTGTAACTATCCATTATCAATTTCTATGTTAAAACTTTTATTACTGCTTACATGGCAAAGATGATGTATCTAATTGCTTTAAACGTTGGCATACTTTCATATAGGTCAAATTTTATAATTAAATAGTAAGTAAAATATCCATAATATAGTATATAAAATAATAATATATAGATTGTGATAATTTTTTAGAATTCTATGACCGAGGAGGAAACATTTTTATTTATAAATATATGGAAAAAAGGATTCCCTGAGAAGCAGTAAAACAGCAAAATTACAGGAAAATTGCAGACTCGGTTTGATTGAGTCTGTACATGAGACATAATGAAAAAGTACAACATCCCTCACGCCCCCTAGCGCCCTCCTAGCACCGGCTAAAGCGGTACTCAATTCTCAACACTCTAAAGTGCTGAACTCAGTGATCCCGAAGGACCAGAAAAATATAACAACACCGAAGTGAGGTACTGGGCATTTTTTTACGGCTGCCATACCTGTTGTTGTGATGTATGAATGTCTGGAAAATAGTGATCCCTCGAAAGCATTATAAACATAGTCAATGATCATCTACTTGCCATATGTATTATTACCAATAAGTTACGTAAACTACGGCTTTTTCTTTCTCAATGTTTTGGTATTGTAAAGATTTTACACTAAGTGACACCCTGATGCTGACCGTTAACCTAATGAACTCAAAGTAAATAGGGTCATTTACTGGTCATAGACAATGTTTTATCACATGATATAAAGTAACTCAGACAAGGGTTAACGGACGTACGTGTGAACAGACGTAAGAACCTACTAATTACAGTATGCCCGAATGCTTAAGGTGGGTAGGCAAAGTTGGCGCTTGTGACAAAAGCAAAAAGCTTTCAACAGTGTAAAATTAAAGCTAACATGTTATCGTTTGTCAAGACGGACAACTCGTTTAACTCTTTTATATCATACTAGTATAGAAAGGACAGTTTGTTTTTTACAAGTAAACTTGTATTACTCCTCACTGCCTTTCCATTCTCTTACAAATCTGTAAAATATCACCACACATTATAAACCGGCCAAAACTATCTTTTTATGTTTATATTATGATTTATGCTATAGAAGTTTAACTTTACCGTAACCATGTTGGCCGTGCTCTTGCGCATGACACAAACTTTACAAATATTTACACAAAGTTACTGTCGTTCCAGGACGGCGACATATACAGTACATAATATGTAACAATTTTTACCCGTACACCGCCTGAAGGTAAATCACACCTGAGAATTAGTATCACATGATTGTCGGGTAACCTATATAAAGACTTAAAATGATATCTTCATGCACAAAACTCGAACGTTTATCGGCTGCTATGGGATGAACACATGTCTCTTGAAAGAAAGAACATTTTCTCTTTTTTTAAGGAGTCTATTTCATGAAAAATATTTTCCGAACGCCAGCATGGAAGGCGATTTCTAGTAGATTTTTTCAATACCACTTTGTAAAAAGAAAAAAAATGCCGACCGGATTCCAACTTATGAACATGTCTTTCTAGATAGACATGACCCTGATCTTTAAGGTGTTGAACTTGCGCTCCTAGTACATGTTCTGGCGCAATTGACATGAAAGTATCCTTTCTCACTTTTTTGTTTTATCCCTGTTTCCTAACTTGAAGTGCTGAGCTTCAACCCATAGGCTTTCTTATGACATTGTCTGAATGTGCCACACATTCATTTATTCATTTTACCATCAATCCGAACATGATATATATGCATGGGACAGAGGCAAGTTCTTACTGAATTACTTGTGGATGTCTGTGATATCCATTAGATATCCAAACACAACCCTCTTTGTCTCCAATAACCCATGATTCGTGCTAGGGGTAGGGCGTACACGGAATTGATCTCAACTCGTAATTAACTGTCACTTAACCTGCTCGGATAAAAAGACAGCCGAGCAGACATTCGTGCAGCCCCCAACCTCCCCCATTCAGGGCGATTTAAACAAATTAAAAAAATCGCAATAGTTTTAAATAGTCTTGAATTCTTAGGAATATAAAAATATCGTCTAAATAACAGATGCAAATATGACTCTAAATTTATTTTGGTATAATTTTTGTCCTTTTATCACCATAAAGTTTGTACTGTTAATGGATGTTTTCGTAAGTCCGGCCTTGTAAGTCTTAATTGGTATCACTGCATTTCTGATAATAGAAAAGAAGACTGGTAAAAAGCTTCTTGCGCTTGTTTACTTAAAAAAATAATACAGTGTATAGAAAAATAGGAAATTGTCAGCCATTTTGAAATCCAACATGGTTGCCGCAATATTATTTTTTGCATCTATTCCACTCGTTTACATTTCCGCAGACTAGAATTAACAAGCTTTAAATCAAAATGACAAAAATGTGTTAATATCTCACCAATTAGAGAATTAAAGTGAAAGAAGAAAAAAAGTCAATGGCAGTCATCTGACATTGATTTTTTTAGAGCAGGCCGTGGTAAAGCAAAAACTGAATTCAAAAAACTCGAAATAGGCAAGTAAGCCCATCTACCTGCTTGTACTAACAATACCGTAAGGATGAACATTTTCCAAAAATCAAACCAGTCTTAGATGGTATTTAGTAAGATCTTTAATTGAATAAACTACACTGACATGCTGAATATTAGATAAATTTAATTCATTTAGATAGTTTAAAAGGTATCGTTTGTATAATTGTACAAGCTTAAAGGTGGCTCTTTGCATCGAGCATTCTTATATTTTAGTACGATAAAGTACTTATACAAAAAGTACTATTTGTTATATCATTCATTGTCCTTGTTGACACCATTAAACTATGATAAAATCACGCTTTTATGGAAGTTCATTTGGACAATACTTAACCTTGCTTATGTAAAAAAATACTTTTGTTACAATCGACAGATTAATCAATTGTGTTATATTCAAAAATGGAACAACACTGCAACTATTATACTGTATATGGACACTTATGGAATATCATATACTGAGGGAATATCATAAACTGAGGGTATCTCAGGAACTGAGGTTCCGAATCTTTGGTGTGTGCCTTTCGATATTTCCATGTGCATCAGTTAACTTACACGATCGTGAACGTTTTTGTTACTCTCGATTTTTTGGACAAACTTTATAACTCAGTAAGTTATTGTGTAAAATTAACTTAGTAAGTTCTTACGTTCACTAGAAAATGTTATGAGATCTAAATGCAGTGTAAAATAGTTTGAAGGAGGAAGTATGGTATAACACAAGTTAGGTAACTCAGCAATTTAACTAGAAAACTGAACAATCATTTACATCTTGTTTTAAAAATATCCTTTATTTTATTTATACAATAATGGCAAGAACTTTTCTTAAAATTCTATTGAAAAAACATCCTTAAAATTCTATTTTAGAATGGCAAGAACTATTTTTGCATTTTATTTTAGAACGGCCAATGAGATTCCAAGGTTTCAATTTGAAATTAGAATTGACGAATAAAAATTTTTGTTATATTCAGTTCTTCCCATAAAATTCTACAGGATGCCAAAATGATTTAAGATTGCCTTCGAACGGACTCTGATTCAACAAAGGTAAAAATAAGGAAATTCGAGCCTGGCAATCCTTACCCTGGCAGTGCAAGAATATCGATTGTTAATAAACAAAATATTATCTTTCGATCGGTCCTCAGGATTACCCAAACATTACGACGGCTTTATGTTGTCGGTTTAATCCGAGGATTTGGATATGATGCTGTTTCAAACTGAATGACCTGCAGGGCGTGGTCATTACGTTCATTTACGGGTTGAGGGAGGAAAGAACCTCAAACGCATAGAGTTCGCTATTTCCCGGGACCGCGATGGGCTTGTGAATGCTAAAAGAATTTCAAATATGACTTACATATACCCATACACAGAGGAAAAGGCATATCTTTATATGCCCCGTTGGGAACAAATAAATATTGGTATTTATCTCTAATTAATTTTTCTAATTTATTTAATTCATTCTTTCTTATCCAATATCATACAAATGTATTGTATGAATTCATTCGAAGGATTTATAATAACTTAGTTTAAATAATAAAATCATATAAACGTAGATGTTATGACATCACCAAGCAGTTTCTGTAGAAAAAAATGGTTAAAATTGCATTAAAAAGAATAAGTATAAATTAAACTAGTATAGTTTACGTGATCTCCTTTATTCCCATAAAGTATCCTGTTCTTGATTTTCTTGTTGCCGTTGATGTTTCTAAATATACATAATGATTTTCCTTCTTTGAACGTTATGCTGGCATTGAACAAAAGAAAGAGAAGAAGCAAATTTAAGTAGACCTTGAAATCCTAACGATTACCCCTTAAAATTTCGTAGATTTTTTGTCATTTAAACTACAACGTAGCAGTTATTAACGTAACAACATTTTCAGCTTCACAATAGAACTTGACATGAACCTTGCTATCGTGATTCTTGCATTTCTGATGCATTCCTTTGATATTTGACAAACATTGACTTACACTTAGTTAAACAACCTGGATCTGCCATCATTTTATCAATAACTATAAAACTTCAAATAATTTAATAAAAAAGGAATATTATAATATAAAGGGTACACTTACATCGCTTTGCCTTGCATGACTTTCCTAAATCAAACTTGATTTCATGGAAAATATCGATTGGTCGCAAGCATGTAGCAAAGAGACCATTACACAGCTTCACTTCAGTAGTAATAGAAACAACGCCTTTCTGAAATTCAGCGATCGTTACCAAAAATACTTTCATGCCAAAAAGATGAATGCCCGTGTTAATTTCTTCGTCTAATGCTGTTAAGAAAAATGTATCGATACTTAAGTCAGATATGTTAGGATAGTTATCTTACAACAAATCTAGAAGTTTTTATTCCACTATTTTTTCTGAAAGTGATGAAAATATCATCTTCTTGGAGTTTAAATGTTCAAAGATGGAGCATTAATCACGTTTAAGTTTTCAGTCTTGCCATTTTCGGGCAAACCTGAGGTTATGTTAGGTATAAACGACATTGTAAAGTTCATAAAACGACTGATGGAGAAAGACCCAGCATGTCTCCTTTTGAGCAAAATTAAACTGTGGGCTGTGACCGGAGTAAAAATTCTCAACCTGCTTTAACCTACATAAATATGTTATGTCAGAGCTTCGGATAAATGAAAAATATGTTTTCATAGCAATGCTTGCTTAACAACAACAAAGTAACTTCCTGTACAAATCTTCAGTTGTTGAAAAAACTATTTCTCAGACTAGAATTCTAAGCACAGTAATAATGTCTCTTCAAAGTAGAACAACTTTCCTTTAAATGTTAATCTGTTTTGACAATTACACATTGCATATGCATATATCGGTAGTTGTATATTCACAAACATATTAAGAGTAACTAAACTAAAATGATAATAGTGAAGCTACTTACATACGTTTTACACGCTGAACTTGTAATTATGACATTTGCTATTTAAGTCTCAAACCACAGTTACTAGTTTATTACTGTAACAATTCATCATTGTACGTTCAGTCACATGAGTCAAACCAAAAATGTGTCGGTACAGAAGCGAAAGATATTATATTGAATTAAGCCTTTATCTACGTTTCATACCCTTTCATCATCAATACGAAAGATTTGATGTAAAATAGATATAATGTCATTTTTAATTGATCCCACTTTCTTTCAAACAGAAATTGAAAACTAAGCGTATCGTCCTTTTGCATGAAATCATGTATATGAAATAGAACGAGACTAGACAATGTAACTCGTTCTCAATATTTTCATTTACATTATGTTTTTCCTGTAATTGTCAAACTAGAAAATGATAAAAAGGACCATATATGCATGCATAAATACTCGTCGTTCTGACAAAATCTGCAAAGTTACATTATATTCAGGCAAATGAATTTAGAAAATAAGTCGGGAAAGTTTAGAATATTTAGTTAACAAAAATAGTACAATATTATCAAATTATCTCAGGCTTATACTTCACGTATTTGGCATATAATATAACTGTAAGCAGACTTGATATTATCACACAGCTTAATGTTAACTGATCTAATACTTAATATCATTCGTGATGCGTCAATCAATAACACTTACCATTGGCTGTGAATTCAAAAGAGACCCCATTGACTATAAATACTAGTTTTAAATCACCAGGCTTAACATCCAAACTTAATTCAACGTGCTTAGTTTCTGCGCCAAATTGGACGGGAACACTGCAGGTGATACCTAAACAACACTCGTGTACTGTGCAAACATGGCCAAATCCAGCAGCAATTCTACCTTTAAACCACGGGCATACTGAAACATAAAAGTACTTTTCGATCCATTGAAATTATTCTTGCGTTTTTTTCCTTTTAAGATAAGATTTAATATCTGGTGTTAATCTATTAAGTCCTTACATTTATTTAGTTAAGGTTACTGTATAACATAGCATTTTAAACAAACGGCAATATATCACTCGCTCACTTACAAAACAGAAACAATTTATATTGCTAATTTTGAAAGGAAACAGCATTTACGTTCCAACCTGCATTTGAAATAGTGTTCATACTGGTATTGAAAGTTTTTTTTTTTAAATCAATGATTGCGATGAAAATAAATGGTTTATTAGTTAATATGAAAATTGCTAAAAGAAATGAAAGGTTGCCATTAAATCAATGTCTGCTAAATGGAGTCTTTAGATACTTTGGGGGACACTGGTTGTATTCGAAAGTGAAAAGTTGCTATTGAAATCACAAGTTGAAATAGGAAGTCAACAATTGTCATGGAAATGACTGGTTTCAAGTAAATGCAATGGTTGCTATGGAAGTAACTGGTCGTTTCATAAATCTTGACACCTGGGCTTAATTTGAATAAATTTTGTAGCGGACCTGTAAGCTTTTTATGCCAAATATTTAAGTTCTAGCCTTTGCAATATAAAAACATGTTTCGCATTATTCATTTATGAAAATCCAGTGACCTCCTTGACAGTACGAATTTTAATCCAAAGGCTACAATTGAAACAAACTTGACAGAGACCTACCTAATTGTTCATGCTGAAGTCAATCTAGCCTTCTTTGTGAATTCATAGGAAAGAGTGTTTAATAAGTTATAAGCTATATTCATAATTAAAACCAATGACCCAGGGAATGGCTTATTTTGACCCAAGGACAAATATAATATTAAATGTAAATATATCAGCTCAATCATTTGTAGTTTAAAAGGAATAAACTGTTATAAAAGCTTTTACTTTATATACATAAGGAAAACCATTTACTCTCTGGGCATGACCAAATGTGAAGAATTTCGTAAATTCTATAATAAAATCGAGTTTTTTGTTACCTTTTCCAGCTGTTTCCATCAAACTATCAGCGACGTTACTGACATCTCCGCCTTTTACAGAGCCAGTAATTCCTTGCAACTTTATAAATTTCTTAACAAAGGATAGTGACATAGTTGCTGGATTCCCGACTGGAACAGCAACCATGGAATATGCCAATTTATCAACCAAGTTGTTGAAGTCATTAAAAAGTTGTGTTCCTTGTGCCAAATTTGCAAATACCCAATAAACAGTCTTATTATTTACGTTTACTATGTCTAAAATGTTTGGAATTTTAGGTCTGAAATGATAGTATCAAGACAATTAAACATTAAAGAAAAAGTTATCTAAGGATCATACTGTGTTCATTTTGATGCATTAATTTTTATAAAGTATGAGCAAGACTATTATGTCTGTAAATGTTATAAAATTTTAATTATCAGAAAAAGACAAGATCATACAACAGAAATCCTATCCGTCCCACTTACAAACCCTATATGCTTCTTACAGATTTTATGTCAAGTCTTTACAATGTTTGTTGAATTACAATTACAACCACATACACAAGACAAAATGACGGATGCGACACATAATTCATCCAAAATTATCTCCTATTTGATCAATAGTAGTAAAGATAATATACTTGCCCACCCTTTCCAAATAAGGCCGTCTTAAAAAAATTAACAAATTTCTTGGCTTGTTCCTTCAAACTTTTTTTTAAACTGTCTACAAATGGAGTTTGATCATAAAGAGAAGGGTCATCAGGCCTGTATGCAGAATTCTCCTGTCCCAGCATACTACCCAGTTCATTAGCATCTGCAAATTGTCTTTCAAGTTTCTCTTCTTTTAACTCGGGGTCTTCTTCTTGGTTTGTCTCTCCAGACACAAAAGTTTGACCAATATACCTTAAGAAATAAGAAAAAACAATGCATACATAGGAATTTAAAGTATGTTGTCTTTTCATTGAAAGCGACCATCTTGTAGTTCTAAATATAACAATCAATTGATTTTCCAACAAGTAAGTATCACTTTTCATCAATAACCTTGCACCTAATTATTATTTACACTATCAAAGTTCTTAACAAAATAAATTATCTTTTTTCTTTACCTAAACTCATGGTCATTACATTCTTGTATCCACTTTGGAATGGGGACCAGTCGATCTAAAAATGGTCCGGGATCAGTATAGTCATAATCCACGTCTGGAATAGTTTCATCCTGAGTTTGCCGTACAGATACGTGGATAAAATTTGGTTTACATTTTGGTGCCTTTGACGCCCGTCCAATCTTGTCACCAGCCTTCACTTGTTTCCCGTCCCACTTTTCATCGGGGTCAATGTTTTCAATAACGATCTCAAGAACTATAAACTCGGGGTCTATTGGCTGAACGATAACTCGATTTCTAGATGATTGAACATGCAGGATTCCATTCACTGGCATTACTATCTATCAAAGGATTATTTAAGTAGTTCTATAAACAAGCAAATTTGTTGAATTTATATCACCCGCCGAGTACGAGTTATTACTAACACAACAACTGGAGACATAAGGCTTTATTTACATAAACTTATCATAGCATGCAAATTTATCTTTTCGTTTTGATGGTTCCTATTAAGTCTTGTTGCAATCAATTCATCAGTTGGAAAGAAATAGCAATATTTCTCTACTTGCATACTGCACAACTTGTCAAGGCCATGTTCAAGGGCCATAACTCTTTCTTGATGAGTCTGACAGAAACAAGGCAATGATATGCACATCACTCCTTGGTATTGATTGTTCCAATAAAGTTTCATTGAATTCCAGCCAGTATTTGCAGATTGATAGGAAGAAACAATAATTGCTCTATGTGCATATTGCATAACAAATCAAACCATAAATCTGTGTTCAAGGGTTTGACCAGAACAAGATGACGATATGCGCATTTCCTCTCGGTATTGATGGTTTCGATAAAGTTTTGTTGAATTCCAGCCAATAGTTACAGAGAAATAACATGGAAACGATTATTGCTCTATATGCATACTGCATAACTAATCAAGGGCCATAACTCTGAATTAAAGTGTCTGACCTGAACAAGGTGATGATATGCGCATCTCCTCTATGTATTTATGGATCCTATAAAGTTTTGTTGAATTCAATCCTGTATTTGCAGAGAAATAGTACGGAAACAATTAATGCTCTATGTGCATACTGCATAACCAATCAAGTGCCATAACTCTGTGTTGGAAGGTCTGACCGGAATAATGCCATGATATGCGCATCTCCCCTTAGTATTGATTGTTCCAATAAAGGTTTCATTGAATACCAGCCAGTATTTGCACAGAAATAGTGAGAAACAATAATTCCTCTATAGGCATACTGTATAACTAATCAAGGGCCATAACTCTGAAAGGTCTGACCGAAACAATTCGACGATATGTGCATCTTCTCTTGATATTGATGGTTCCCATAACGTTTCGTTAATTCCAGCAAAAATTTGAAGAAATAGCACGGAAACGATTATTTCTCTATATGCATCGTGAATAACTAATCCATGACCATAACTCTGTGTTGAATGATCTGACCAGAACATGGTGACGATATGCGCATTTCATCTTAGTATTGAAGATTTCCATAAATGTTCCATTGAATTCTAGCCAATAGTTGCAGAGAAGAAGCGCGGAAACGAATATAGCTCTATATGTATACTGCATAACTAATCCAGGGTTATAAGTCTGAGTTAAAGGGTCTGACCGGAACAAGGCGACAATATGCGCATCTTTTTTAATTTTAAAAGAAAGTTAAAGTAAAAGCATGGAACAACTTGAACAAGTTTATTTTTTGATTGATTGATTGATTTATTTAGTTTTTGATAAATTTAAAGATAATTGTTTTTAATAAATAATATAATGATATTTATATAAATATATCTTGTGATTGGTTTTGCGAACTAGTCAAATTCATAGTATATTTCTGTATTTGTAATATTAATGAAATTGACATTATTTGTTATGAAAATTATTATAATGTGATCTTAGAAATATAACATTAGTCCAGTATATCATTTTTAAGCATGGACTGTAACGCCAGTTTTCAAGAAAATATATTTGTTTCCATCAAAGGACCCCATTGGAAATAAGTTTTCTATTTAATATTAAACTTTCATGGGTTATCCTGTGTTGTATATATTGCCTTTAAATCAAAAAGATCTGTAATTTGTTATGAATAAGTTATCATTTTCAATTAATTATTGTGTTACAAATAATGTGATATACAAAAAAATGCATATATCTGTTCTATTATGCAAAATATATCACATTACACATTATACTTTGAGCTAAGCTTAAATAAGTATTTACCGACTTTCCCCTTCCTAACGTTATGTCAACACCAGTTGTTTGGTATGTGTGTTGTGTCGTTGATGGCCATACCCCTTCTTTGCAGGATCCTTTGGCCTTGCGCCTTTCTGTCGGAAAATTTATGTGGAATTTTGGACCAAAAACTTTCTGTACTAGTGATTTGCTGGTTTCAATTCTGTGTACCGTTAAAAGAGATAGGTGCCTTTTTACAAGAATTATTTCATTTTCTTTTTCATATAGAAAGTTGATTATAAGTGAATCTTATTTGGTTCTGTTCTAAAATAATTGATTTATATAAAAAAAATCTTGCAAAGTATAATAACGGTTCTTATACAACATTTCTGGTAGGAAATAGGAAAATAATCAAATAAAACTTTATGATTATCATCTGCGGTTTTAAACGTCTTTACGATAAAGAGTATTGAAGTTATCAATAAAGTAATTCTTTCTCTTACACTGCTTTGACAGTTTTATAACCCCATTTCACTCCTTTTATCAGATCCATAATTGATTTAAAGTCATCAACAAATGGTTTCACAATATTAGTTAAAGGTTGTAAGGGCTCAAGAACTTGGTCCCATTTGGCTTTCAAATCACTTTCCAAGTTGTGGAGTGAGTTTTTCTGTAAAAATCATTTTGAAAGACAATGTAAATACTCTTATACATGTACATGTATAAATATGTATCTTAAATATGTTTTACACCATAGAGGGTGATGAAAAATCATACATATTTCTAAACTTTCTGAATAAAATTGGTTTAAATCAAACAAAATAATAATTTCATTACTTTGGAAAACAGGAGCATATTCGAATTTAAAAAATTTCAAATGATTGCAAGTTTATAATACCATATCACCGATGCCATCACTAAGTTCTTTGGTCATTTCTGACTTCAGGTCACGACGTTTACGACCAGTAATTGACTTAACAAGTTTCTTCAGAGCTTCACCAAGTCGCCTGATTATACTTGGTATCTGCTTAGCTGTATTCAACCATTCAACTGCACGACCTAAATTATTTGTATGAATTATATTTTACCGGGTAGCTAGTAAATAACAAAAAATATTAAATGAAGAGTAACTGTTGAACTTAAAAATTTATACATGTAGATGCACCATTGATTGTTACGTGTTAGAAGGATCAATGTGAATAAAATGTATTGTTCAGTTTTCTATTTGTTTTGAACAGCGTTGTGCTACGCAAAGGTTACCTATTTTTCATAATAATGTCATTTTGTAACCGGATGATTAACGCTATCGTACACTTCCATTTTAAGATATATATGTATTCCTTTGGGTACTTCAGATTTTCTAACCTGTTCTGCTTAAGATAGTGTGTGTAACATAAAACTACTGCCACCGTAAGAATTTATGTACGATTTACAGCAAAGTGTGATGAAATATTACATTTAAGACAATATATTTTATTTATTATGACTTTTACTTTACCTTTCAAAAACATACATGCGTCAATCACTTTATCTTTGATATCTACAACCATTGTTACCGCAATTTTAATGCTGAAAGTTTAAGGATATAAACAGGAAAAGTTGAATCTTAATTACATTAATAGTTATATGTACTTTATGTTCTTTACATTAAACTTTGACTTCATTACAGTGTCTCTACTAGACAGACTAAAAGTGTTTGTTTGTCATACTCGTTATCTAAAACAAGCCTTCAAACAACATATTTTTGTTTTACATTTCAATGTACAAAAATGACATAAAATACAGCGTATTTCCGAATGTTTGAATCATTACACTCATATTTGTTTTACATCTCGCGTGCAACCAAAGATCTTGCATTACTAAGGACCTCGTTATTGTTTGAAATATCATCATTCACTTAGACGTTTAAATGACCTTTACAAAACAAGTTAACCTTACTTCGATATGGCCCTTGACATCGATGTTATTGCTTGCATAGGATTGTTAACTAATTGGCTTAAAGCACTTATAATTAGATTGAATCCATCAACAATTTCCTTCGATATGTAAGGAAGGCCAATAGTAACGACGTCGACGATATCCTAAAAAAATTAAAATTGATCGTTTTATTTCTTATTTTAAACCAGTCATAATACAAAAGTGAATATTTTAAATCTTAAAACATGAAATCTAACCTAGCTGAAACAAACTATTTCGGAGCTATGTGTAATTATATATAAATAAATAAGTATTTATTTAATACTAAGTTATTCATTTTAATATACTTTAAGTTTGTTTTATAACGAACTTAATTTATATTTATATCAATTCTGTATTTATCTATTTTATAATGTTTCTTAATATAAGAAGAATAAATAAGTACAAAACTAAATTTGTCATTAGGTCATTTAACAAGAACTTACAAAATATACAATACAATACAGTGATTATACAAGACGGATTACTTACATTGTAAAATTTTAAGACATCTTGCTTAATACCATCTACGAAATTGCGGACATTTTGTATAATGATTTTTACTTCTTCCACTGTCGTGGATCCAGCAATGTTAAATATTTGCACAAGAAAATCCTTTAGCTTTTGAGCCACATCTCCAAGAATTGTGGGTAGATCTTTCACGACTTTTACAAAACTTTTGACAATATCTAGAATAGGAAAACAAATTAAATCTTCAGTCAACCATTGATTTCCAAAGATTCGATTTATCAATATAGAAAAAGAAAGTACGAGAAATAACGAAACAAGCATAACTATGTTAAAATCTTGTGTATGACAAAATATTTCAGTTGGATACCTTTAAATGGCATGATATTTTCTCTAAACTGTTTGACAGCATCTGTTATCGGAGTTACAATTTTCGCGAGGATTTTGTCATAGATGTGCACCAAGTCCGACAAGCTGTTGATACCGAAGTCCTGGAATTATATAACATGAACGTGTAATATTACGTATTATTTTTGTTATAATAATTATATAATGCTTCATCAAAACTGGATTCCTTTGCAAGAGCCATGCTCTATTTTATTTTAAAAGTGATATCTTAATAGAAATTTTAACTGCTTTTGTAATTACACTAAAATTTAACTCAATATAATCAAAACAAACAGAAATGTGTCAATAGGACACACGTGCCCCCACACTTTGCTGTTTTGTCAATCTTCAGACGCTAAGTCATTTTGTAAGGCTACACGTGCTACAAGTTCAAAACTGAAAATCTTTTACTAAGTCAATAATGGCAACAACTCTACAAATACTGAATAAATTCACAAGCAAATAACAAGGTGCGTAACTACACATGTCCACCAGTATTCTTTATACTTTCAGCACTAGATGTCAAATACTTTTTTTTGGCTATGCATAGGCAAGTCTATAAACTTTACTAAGTAAAGGGCAATAAATTTAACAAAGTTGAAAAGATCCATATGCAAAACCATAAGTGCACAGCTTCACAGTGATGTTGATCATCATTCCTGAAAATTGGTTGATAATAACGCAAGCACTCAAGGTACACATGACACATTATTTTGGAATGGTTTTTAAAAATCAAAGGGAAATTAATCTATAACTACTAAATAAATTCACAATCAAACCCCAGGCGCACAACTAAATATGCCGACCAACTTTTTTGTAAAGTTTCATGACTTTATGTAAATTTCGGTTTGAAATATGCACGACACAACTTTAAAATTGCAAATTTGTATTGATTAAAGTGCAAATTTTTTAAAACGCTAGAAATACTGAATAAATTCACAACCGAATCCTCTGGTGCATAACAACACATGCTGACCAACATTCCTTTTTAGTTTCATATCTCAACTATTTCTTGAGCTACGTGCAACACAAATTAATAATTGGAAATTTTTACTAAGGTAAGGTCAATTTATCTGACGAAGCAGAAGTACTCCACAAGCAAAACACCAGATGCACGATTTCACATGCCGAGCAACATCCCTGTGAAGTTTCGTGACCCTAGTGCAAATTCTTTTTTACACACAAGTTGAAAATTGCACATGTTCACTAAGTCAAGGGCGATAACTTTTTACATATTGATTAAATTCACAAGCAAACACTCAAACACTACATATGCTGACCAATATTCTTGTAAAGTTTCATGACTCTAAGTCAAATACTTTTTGAGCTACGTGCGACACAACAAGAGAACGGACGGACGGACAAAGGTAAATCTAAATGCCCCCTTTCCCTATAGTTGGGACACTAAAACATTATAGTAGAGATAATTAAATAAACGTAAAATTGGTTTTAGTACTTACCTAGCTTACGTTAGCAAAGTGTCAGAAACAACTCTCTGAACCCACAGCGGTGATAGGGTAGTGCTTAGAAATTGAAGACCTTGCAAGTAGGCAATATAACCACGAAGACATAGTAAAGTAGTTTATATAGACACACTACTTCAAAAAGATAACACGATAAGGTCATACACAACAAAAACGTGTACGAATAATTATAAATCTTCAGATTTGAAAACGTGTCAACTATTAAATAACTAATACCTTTAATACATTGAGATCATACGCAATATGACCTTTAAAGCAAACATAAGCTTTGACGATGTTAACTTGATAGTTGATCAATCCAACGTGAGCTTCCGCATAAGCGCCGTCATAGACGTCTATCATGAAATGGCCGCTTAGAAGTGCTTAAATACAAAATAATGGAATGTCCACATTTCCTTACAATTCAAAGACAATACAATCATCAGCTTTTTATTTTGTTTCAATACCCTTCATTAGTGCTGTATGCCAATACAAGGGGGTTAAAAAAGGGGGTATCAACTAAGGCATTATTTGTATAGATTCGTGAAACTGAACAGGGTGATTTATCGTTAACATTTTCCTTACAACACACATTGTTGATATCGACACGGTTTTCTTATGTTTCAGATTTTACATATATTAAATATCAGTGATGCATGCAATAAATCGTACCTAACTTCAGGTCAAGAATATTTCGTATATGAAGACCAAAACTTGCTCCAATAGCACTATTTCCGATCGTCTTGTCCCATTCAATACCCGGAGGTTCGATAAGAACTTGGATGCCCTGTTCCAAAGTCTGGAACGAACTTCGTCGTATACGCGCAACAATAGGATAACTGTAATTCTTGCTGCAAAGGGGAGTCTTTATATATTATTATGTCTATATATAACATCAGAATTTGAAGTCTTTCAAAAGTCCATTAAATAAAGCATGTACATATTAGAACATATTAGAGCCATATCAAATCGTGTAATTGACACACAGAGATGCATTAAAACCAGTACTCTTTACATTTGTTGAAAGAAGATCTCTACAAATGATATATTTAATATGTTCTTATAATGTTGATTATATACATATCTGCTACCTCAGGACAACATTTTCTTGATCTATTGTGAATTTGTCACTTCTTGGATGTTTCTTCAAAACTTGTGCTGCCGTTTTTCGAACAACATCATCGTCATCATGTAAAGCACTCGTTAAAAGTGCATGTACGCTCTAAAATTGTACAAGAAAAGTAATTCTTCAGGCATAATGTTGGCAGGAAAAGAAATGACTGAGTATTGACGTAAAGTGGGAAGCGAGAGGGGTGATAGTTCGCAAACACTATATCTATTAGTAATGCTACGGCTTTGGTATTACTATATCACTACTACTTTAATAAAGATGGTAACTTTAAACTTTTGACTCATAGTTGTTGAAAGGCTAGAAATATGATACTTAAGAAAACATGATTAGGCGGTAATGAACAAAGTTTTAATATTTCCTGTGCATTACTACGGTAGATTATTAAAGTTTTAAAATATTTACACAACTTATTGATATTGACTTACTTCGTTACATGAGAAATGTCTAAGGCTATGTATAGCTGCTCGGCGCCATGCGGTTACACCAACATTAGGCTCCATATATGACTTGATATGCTTCATTGATCTAGATTTTCCTGCGTTTCCAAGACTCTGAATGAGCACCATCTTTGTTTCAATATGTTTTCTAGCCGTCATATCATGCTGAGTTATAGATCGTCTTTTTCTTGGTTTTACAATCTCCATTGATCTTGCTGTAAATGTTTATTATTTAATACAAAAATATGAAAATAATCTAGTAGACTGAGAAAGTACAAGAAAAACACGTATGTCTGCGTTCTTTTTTACTTCAAACTTTAATAAAATAAACCTTACTACTAAAATTATGACTGTAAATTTTCTTTAGAAAATAAGATAAAGATAAGTTAACACAAGGTCACGTTCAATGCCGAGTGGTTAAGGTCGTTGACTGCCAAACCATTTGATCCTCGCCCCTGAAAATTTGTATGTCGACAGGGATTTGGATGCATTCATATTGATAAGTTGTCCAGCTATCTTACGGAACATCGGTGATTTAATCAATGTATATACTTGTATAAGCGTTATCAATTATTTACTTTCATTGTGATGATCGAGCCAGTTTTCAATTTTCTCAACAATTCTGTCAGACTCAGTCATGTTCTTGTCATGTAGTGATTTAGCCATGGCCCCAAGTGATAAACATGCTCTTTTCCTGGTCTTTGTTAACGTAGGTGTCTCTAAAAACCAGACGGATAAAAATTACAAATTTTACATAATAAATATTCTGACTATATATGTAAGACCATGCTTTTATATTGACATTTCAAAGTACGAAACAGGGAATTTCTGTTCTTTCTAAAATTATAAAACTTACTAAAGCAAATAGACTATATGTGAAGAACAGGACAGCGTGGTAGCTGTCAATGCGTAAAAATAAATTTCAAGAAAAATAACTACAAAGCGTTTCCTGCTCAAATAAAGCTTCCTCAACCAATATTGCTGAAAATTTAGACTCCGACAACTCGATTAATTTGGGGGATAACTGGTCCTCGATCATAAACCCGATGTTTTATTAATGAAAGTGTTCAGTTGAGTCCGAGGATTATAAATTTGGATTTCATGTGTGCCAAAGTTGCTGGGGGACTAAGAAATCCAAAATGGCGCCCAACTTGACCGGCAAAGTAAGAAAATTTCCATTTGTAGTTTGTTATTTAATTCTGTCAGCTTAAACTGATAAAGTGCCATTATGCTCATATTTTCATTGCCAAGTTGAGTTGAAATGACAATATATTACAATAGATAGATTGTTTTCACGGCGATTGACCAATGGTTGCTACCGAAAATTGTTTAGGATAAATATAGATATGTCGAAAATATAAAGACTGCCCCACTCTTTTATAGAATTGAACATAACACGTAAAATCCGATGGATATTTATAAAACTTCCCTTGGACCCTGTGAGTTATTTATCGTCCATGCAAATTGAACTACAAAATTGGAAGGAATGATAACGGAAAGAAAGCTTTTTTTGACTTTCACCTGTTCACTCTTTATATACTCTTGGATGGGCAAACTGTCACTTTAAACATTGTTGTTGTTGTTTTTTAACATTTTTGATACTAAATATATTCATTCATTGTAGTTTTAGTATCTATAAGTCATGTTAATGAATTTTGTTTAATGATAAAACAGGTAATTTTTGACGAAATTTTTAGAAAAAAAAATGCTGTTTTTAAGACGTCCTATACATTTCCTTATATTTTTTTGCAATTCAATAAATGATTTGTTTTGTCATGACTTATTTGCAGTACATACATAATGTGTGAATGAAAGTTATCATTTTAGCATTATTTGTAGCATAATGTTTGAGGATAGTGGGTGGGGTCAAATGATAAATTTACTTAAATTTCAAAATACTCAAAATAACTTTATTTTGACGGCTTAAAATACTTGTATCTACTGCACATTAAATATTTCAGAGCAATTACTGAATAGAAAATGCATTAATTTTGAAATATGAGATGAAGATAAGTTTTTTCCTCTTCAGTTTAAAACTACAATTTATGTTTTTTTTTACAGTCAATATTTACATGCTCTCTCTCTCTCTCTCTCTTCAGTAAATTTATACATTTATTTATTCTGGCATATTTCCATAGTAGATGTTAACAGCTTATGTTTCAGAACGTAGTTATAAAGTCACCTTATAAAACAAATGTTTTCCATGTATAAATAGGTACACAAGAGGACCTGATGGCCCTGGATCGCTTACCTGATATATTGCCAGAAGAGGTCACAATTCTTATTTTTCAATTTTGATTTGAAATCATGAATGAGGTCACATTGAGTTTATCATTTTGTATCCAACAGCATATATTTTTTGATTATTTGCTCAATGGCGATGGTTTTGGCAATTTAGTTCATAAAAAAGACTTAAATGTGTTTCCTATTTACAAATCAATAAAAACGAAGTCACCCAAGGGACAGGGCCAATTTTGACTTTAGTATCATGGTTTACATAACTTTTGTTTAAACGATTTTAAATGCCAAATGTCTAAGCGTTGCGTATTGCGGTTTAATTAGAGAATACTTACACGTGTTTCCTATATAAGTCTAGTATGTAAACTCAGTTATCCTTAGGGCGAGGCCATATTTGATCCCAGGGGGTATGATTTATATAAATTATGTAGAAATCCACAAAGTAGTGTTATGTGCCGAATATCTAAGGTCTTGTCATAGAAGTTTAAAAAAGGGAGACTTATATGTATTTTCTATACAACCATGTCTTTAAGACAATGTGTAGAGCGCAACAGCAATATGGGTACTTTAAATGTCAATATCAAACTTAAAATTATTGTTATTGATGTTGTTGGTCAATATGACCACGAAAAGAAACCGACACAGAAAATAGATCATAGAATGTAATGTTAAGCTACGTTTTAGTAAAGGCAAACACACGAGAGATTGGTTATTAAACTTCATACCGCACATACAGTTATCACAGCTCTTGATCATTTTGAGTGTTATAATATACCCACTAAAATATGCTATGTCGTCTTAAATATCACTCACAGAAAATCGTTTGTTTTAATATTTCTTTTTCTGTTTTTTTTTCTTAAAAGATCAAAACTAATTAATTTTATAACTAATTGAACAAGAGACCGGCCGTCGGTCGCGTCCAACTTTTTTACTTCTATAAGCAAACAAAATCGGTTTAAACAAGTCTTAACAAAGTAAATGAAAATAAATTTTTACTGTTTTTAACTTTAATAAGGTCTGTCTAGTTGCATTTGTTTTTGTGCCCAAGTATGAATTATTTTTCTTTAAAGAATGACGAAGTTAAGAAAATATAAGCAAAATTCAATAATTTCACCGTCAGTTATCAAAAGGTCAAGGTTATAAATAAATTTAAAGCTGAAGGTTAATGTCAGTTCAATCTCTTAAAAGACCTTGTCCAAAATATTTGTTTGTCAAGTATGAAAATAAACCATTGATTAACTACCAAGTTTCAGCCAATCATATATAGCAACAATGAGTGAACATTCAATAATTTGTCCATCGAGAAGTTTGATATACATAAATGTCTTGACCTTAAAAAAGTAATGTCTAAATATAAAGTTAAAATCTACTTCTTCATAATAGATTTAAAGTTATAGCCAGTTAGAGCAACAAAAAAAAGAGAATTTCTTTCATTCGACCTTGACGGTCAATGTCAATTGAGGGTCAAGGTCACATCTAAATTATTCAACATGTTAGTTTGGAAATACATTTATGACAATTTTATCAAATTTCATATATTTGAGCTTGACGGTCAAGGTCATTTAAATTTCACGGTCAAAGTCACTTTAACTTTTCAAAAAGTCATGTCAAAAAGGTTGTTTTATCCAAGTATAAAGATAATCCATTCATTATTAACTATCAAATTGCAGTCAATTATAACAAAAATCAGTGCCAATTCAATAATTGAACCTTCAAAGTCAAGGTCGTGAATGAGCCAAAGTCAGTTTGACTTTGATATACATTAAGGTCCTAAAATGTTTTGTTTTAATATGAAGTCAATTCATTCATTAATACCAAAGATATTTCCCGTTACAGCAATAAAATAAGGAAATAGAAAAAATGTAAATGTCAAGAAGGGTTGTCTGTTTCACTAAAGGCCTATCCCAGAAGATTGTTAAGTTCAGGTTTGACAATACATTCAAAGATAACAAAGTGTTCCTCACTAACAGCAGAAATCACAAAAGCGAAATTTAGAAATCTAACATAGAAGGTTCAGGTCATTTTTGAATGAAGGTCAAGTTTACTCCGGTCTCCTTGGAAGTTTGTCCCAATGTTTGTTGTGGCCACGTATCAAGAAAATACACCAAGAACTTGAAAAAAAGTTATAATCAAAGTTAAAGTTTGGGAACGGCAAAGTGAATTTCGCCAAATTTTAAAGTTGATAGCATATTTTTCATATTTTAACAATGACAAAAAACTGCTTTATAAAAGTGAGCACTACAAGTGCATTTCAGAATTACAATATCTGTAATATGCTGTAGTTCAGATTAGAATATGGTATGTACAGACAGTCGGACATTCCGATCTCAACAGCAAACAGAGATCTTTCTAAATAATATCTGTCAAACTGTTGCGGTTCGTATCGAAAAATCCGTCCCGAGGGTATCTGCCAATTGGGCGTTACGAGGCTTGACGATTTTCAGATCCGTACCGCAAACATGTGTCAGATTTTTTTACATACTTTACTATAGTCTAATATGCTTCAAATTCTTTATCTCAAAAAAACAAATTTCCATGAAAATTGTCATTACACCCGTAACTATTTTCTTACAACAACGTATAAAATTACTGAAAGTACAACTTATTTATAACGCTAAAATTATGTCATTCTAAGCATGCCATTGTACAGCACGTAAGTCATCTGGCACCCCAAAATTTTCGAGATGGGTAAAACTAATGGAAAACCAGTCTGATATGCAAGAATGCATATTCCATCATTAAAGGTTAACCTCAATAAATTATTTTTTCATTCAAAATAATGTCAATTCATTACATTTTTCGTACAGAAGCATCCGAACAGGCGAAAAGACATCATCCTAAGGAACGCTTTTTCATTCCAGAACAGATTGCCTGTTAACATGTTTAAGTGTTGTTTTTTTAAATTCAAATCATACTTATATTCTCCTAACATTTCATAATAAGTGAATTGGATATTCAGCAATGACCCTAAAATTTGTCCCAAAATTTGTAACAAAAAATAGATGTAAGTCTTTCAAGTGGTCAAAAATAAAGTTACTTTCATTATTTTGAACTTTAAATAATTTATCATTTTACACCCAAATTCCCACTCAGATAAAAATTCACAATATAACTGAATAAACATTTTAATATCACAGATTTTGCATGTTAAACAGTTGTTCTCTGTAAAATCAGACAAGACATCAACAAAAAATATAATTAAATAAAAAGAAAAAAATATGTTTCGAGCATTTTTAACGACCAGTATTTCGTTCGAAATATTTTATCCTCATTTACTGTTTTTATCATCAAAACTGTAATTACATCAACATTAGCTACCAAAACTTGATTTTAAGAAATAAAGTAAAGGATAGTTTTATATTTTTGGCGGACATCTTGGATTTCTCCATCATTTGCAGGAAAAATGAAATCTTATCTGGTAATCTAAATCACCAACCGTACATTTTGGTATATGAAACCTCCTGTTTATGATAGCGGACCAGATAAGTGTTCCTAAGCTTATGAAGTTTGCAGCACTTTAATGTGCGTGTGTTTCACATACAGTGTTTATTTATAGCATTTCTTTTAGTTACCTCCAGGTCTTGAATCCTCACCGAAGCAGAGGGCCTCAATGTGCTGGACAATTTCCTAAAATGCATGTCTAATGTTATGAATTATGTTCATTTTAACTTATCCATTTGAAATGAATTAGAAGCAGCTTACTTGCATGGCAGGCATGCTTCATTTCTCACATGTACAAATCTTGAATGTAAATAAATGTACAGAAATGGCATTTGTTTTTGTTTTTTTACTGAAATCTTGAAAGCCGTAGCTAAAAGAAATATTATATGACAATGCCGCATTTTAACTAATTTAAAAGAATTCGAAATGGACTATTGTTTTTAACAAGTTAAATAGCTTGTAACTTACAAGTGCCGGTGATGTTATGGCTATTGCATGAAATAAGCATCTTCTTAAGTCGTCTTCACTGACATTTGGCCTACGCATGACCAAATCAAGAACCATTAACTGAGCCTCAACGCTTCCTTCGCTTGCTATAATGTCTATGAAAAGATTTCTTTCATCTTTACATAATATGTCGATTTCTTCACAGGTGCGTGTAAGTACTTTTGTGCCGAAATTTAAGAAGTCTTCTTTCTTCAGGGAATAAATCAATTTTCGCAAATTATGCACACATTCTGTTCTGTTTCTATCATCTGAAAGATGCATGTCATTAACTTATTTCAAAGTGAAATAAAAAAGGAAACAAACAGGCACAAACAAACAGGAATAAAATTTCTTATATTATTTGTCTTTTTTGTCACTACTTTAAAAACATTCAGCAGTTTGTTGTTTTTCATGTGTGTTTCTTTTCTGTTTTTTTTTTAGCTCACAAAGTGACAGGGTGAGCTTTTGTGATCGCTTTTCGTCCGGCGTCCGTCGTCCGTCCGTCGTCCGTCCGTCGTCCGTAAACTTTTACTTTAAATGACATCTCCTCATAAACCACTAAGCCAATTTCATCCAAACTTCACAGGAATGTTCCTTTGGTGGTCACCTTTGAAAATTGTTCAAAGAATTTAATTCCATGCAGAACTCTGGTTGCCATGGCAACCAAAAGAAAAAACTTAAAATATCTTCTTCTAAAAAACCCAAAAAGCTAGAGCTTAGATTTTTGGCATGAAACATCTTCTAATGGGTGTCTACCAAGATTGTTCAAATAGAAGCCCTGGGGTCAAAATTGGCCCCGCCCCAGGAGGTCATTGATTTTCCCTATATGCATATAGTAAAAACTTAAAAAATCTTCTTTTAAAGAACAAAAAGAGCTAGAGCTAAGATATTTAGCATGAAACATCTTCTAATGGATGTCTACCAAGATTGTTCAAATAAAAGCCCTGAGGTCAAAGTTGGCCCCACCCCAGGGGGTCATTGATTTTCCATTTATACATATAGTAAAAACTTAAAAAATCTTCTTTTAAAGAACCCAAAGAGCTAGAGCTAAGATATTTAGCATGAAACATCTTCTAATAGGTGTCTACCAAGTTTGTTCAAATAAAAGCCCTGGGGTCAAAATTGGCACCGCCCCAGGGGGTCATTGATTTTCCCTATATGCATGTAGTAAAAACTTTAAAAATCTTCTCTTCTTTTAAAGAACCAAAAGAGCTAGAGCTAAGATATTTAGCATGAAACATTTTCTAATGGATGTCTATCAAGTTTGTTCAAATAAAAGCCCTGGCGTCAAAATTGGTCCCGCCCCGGAGGTCATTCATTTTCCCTATATGTGTAAACCTTTAGCAGAAATTAAAAATTTTCTTTGAAAAAATTCAAATAGCAAGAGTTTAGATATTAAGCATGAAGCATCTTCTAGTGAGTGTCTTCAAAGTTTGTTCAAATAAAGACCTGGAGTCAAAATTGGCCCCGCCCCGGGGGACATTGATTTTCCTTATACGATTATAGCAAAAACTTAAAAATCTTCTTTTAAAAAACCCGAATAGCTAGAGTTTAGATATTAAGCATGAAACATTTTCTAGTAAGTGTCTACAAAGATTGTTAAAATAAAAGCCCTGGTGTCAAAACTGGCCCTGCCCCAGGTGTGTCATTGTTTTTAACTATATGTGTAAAGAAAAAACTTTAAAAAATCCCAACGAGTTAGACCTTAGATGTTAAGCATGAAATATCTTCTAATGGTTGTCTACAAAGTTTGTTCAAATAAAAGCCCTGGGCTTTAAACTGGCCCTGCTCCGGGGGCCTATGTACAGGTGAGCGACTTCAGGGCTATCATGGCCCTCTTGTTTATTTATTTTTATTTTGTTGCTGTTGTTTTTTTGTTTTTTGTTAGATATTTACAGTAGAACTTAACAAATCTCAGATTTGTCAATATTTTTGTGTTTAATTATAACACAGAGACATATACTGAACAGAAACTTACTAAGATAACTTTACTTAACAATAATGGCGTTCATTTCACAGTCAAAAATATCTGCCGCTAATTAATCTTACATTTATTTTCTATAGAATGAACACACGCCAGATGACTTTGTATTTCTTTCGCCACTTTCTGCAGTGCCACTTTCTCTGGAAGAACCTGCTCAAATAAAACTGATATTACATCTGGGACATTACATATACTCTTAAGTATATAGACGTTATTATAAATGTGTCTATTTTCTGAATAGCTCAGTAGGTAGAGCGAAGGACTGATAATCTCGAGGTCGTGGGTTTGATACCTACTCTTGCCACTACAATTTTTAATACTTTTGTTTATTAGATGTTTATATAATGTTTCATGTTCATTTATCTTCTTTCAAGAAAGTTCTTTTCATATTCATTCTGGAATATTCTTTCTCTAAGTAGTTTAGTTTAAACAAAATTTTATTTATAATCCACACATTTACATAATAAAGTACATAAAATAAAATTTACGGATTAAGTAGGAAGTTTGTAAAGCTCTTTTGAAAACTCTCTCTGTAATCAGTATTTAACAAATTTCAAATAAATTTCATTTTACGCCCTTTTCAACAGTATTTCAGTCATATAGGTTCAAATAAATGGTAACAAAATATAAATATCTAAAGTGAACTATACATATCATATTGACTTGTTCTTGCTTTCGTACTATACATATTACTTTTATGTCAAGTATTCATGAACTAAATTGAGGATACATTACTGTTAGATTAGAGGTACACGCACGAGTATGAATTTATTTTTAAAGGGATATATTGCTTAGTTTAGTGTTTGGTCTATTAAACTAATATGTTGAGAAGATTTAATGATTAAAACATACGCATTGAAGGAGAAGTAATAAGAGGAAAGGAGAAGAGATAGAAAACAAGAGAAAGAACGAAAGTCACTTAACTACTATGGAGTTGAAGGACCTTTTTCTTTTTAAACGGATATTATTATGTATCAAATCTTTTTTTTGTATAAATTTATGTATATGTGAGGTAATTATTTCAATTTAAGCATATGTAAGTGAATTATCGCCGTATAGTAAAGTATTCAATGTTACAGTTGTGATTTGACTTAAATTGTTTGTTAGGACAGTGCGGTCATCTTGATACATGGAGCAGCGGAGGAAATAGTGTTCTGTATTTTCTATTTCACCACATATACAAAAAGGGCTTTCTATTATGTTTTATTTTCAGATGTTTTTTTCAGAGAGCTGCAATGTGTTCTTAAATAGTTTAGTATTTTAGATTGGTCATTGATATTATATATATGATGAATGTTTGTACTTCGAGGTGTGTGTGCTGGTATGTGCTTATTTGTGCTATTGTGTGATGTTGATATACTGATTGTGTGCTATATTGTACTTATGATTACGAGAAGCTAACACAGTAATATATTAGTTTGAATTCTGTTAATCTGTGTGGGAAATATTTTGGACATATTATGATATTCTGCTGTGGATATTGGACATTGATTATATTTGAGTTGTGGACAATTGAATTTCGAACTGTGAGTTAAACTTCAGGACATTTGTTAAATTTGAATCGTGAATAATTGTGAGTTAAACTTTACTTTTCATATTTTTTGTATTATTGTAAATAACTGTTTTTCCTTAATCAAAAATTGTAAAATTTGTTGCTTCGTTATCTTCTCTGTTGCATTTAGCTCGTAACAATACAAACTAAAAAATAATTAGCCATTGCAGTTCTGTGTTTGATTTCCATGCGTAGGTGTAACTTAAGTGGCTTTAAGACTTAACTTGTTACCGAAATCTAATTTCTATGTAAGTGTTATCCTCTGCATGTAATGTCATACTTCTAAAGAAATACAGAAGAGTATACTATTATCCTATCTTGTGTATTGGGTGATATTTTCACACAGTATGGCACCGCAAATAAACATAATAAATAAGCATATTCGCTAGGATAAGCAAACAACAAAAACATGTTCTTCTTTTTATCGTACTAGTGTGAAATTGTAATGAAAAGTGTTCACCAACCTGTCGTACAGTCAGTGTATCTTTCTGCATGCCACGTAGACTGTGGCTAGTCCATTCATTATGCTTCCTATAATTCATAAACAGATCTTTTAATTTTTGTGGCATTTGAATTTGAATGAACTTTTGCAATGCCAAATTATCACTCTAAAAAAAGGGTTCTTAGCGTTTAAAAATTTATTTCCAATACTTTCAGTTGTATCCATAGGATTTCTGTGAGAAACAAAGTTTATATCTGCAATTTTATATAGTTAGTAATACAAAAGACAATGCGTTTGTTTCTATATGCTGAACTAACGAACAAACATGAAAATAAACGTCTGCTATTGCAGCAAACACCGGAATATAGAGAACCACATAATTTGGCATTAAATAACGGTATATAGACACTTGCCTACTTTAACAATCGACCGACTGACAGGCTTATATTAGCAAAATAATATATCTCCTCTTCTTCAATGGGGGATTGGGTCTTAAAAATGTCATTTACTAGTTATGAACAATCATTATGTGAAGTATAAAGACTAGCTAACTAATTGGTGCCAAGAAATTTAGCGGAATTCATTAAAAGATTCGAGGTTATTTTGACCCTGACCTTTGACATAGTGATCTCAAAATCAATAGGGGTCATTAACTAGTGATGATTAATTTAAATTTGAAACACAAAGACTTGATAACAAGTAGTTTTTGATATAATGAATGGAAACTGTTCTAACATTTAAGGTCCCCCTGTAGTATTGACCTTTGACCTTAAGACCCCCAGACAGGGGTCTTCTACTAGATATAACCAATCAATATGTTAAACATAAAGACTTAGTGATAAATAGTTTTATAGATAATGAGCCTTTGCCTTAGTGACCCCAAAATCAAAAGGGGTCATCAACTAGTTATGACCAATCTATATGTGAATTATAAAGACTAAGGGGTAAAAAGTTTTAAAGATAATGAGCGGAAACCATTCTGACATTTAAGGCCCCTGTGACGTTGCTCATTGACCCGGAAACCTCAAAATCAATAGGGGTCATTTACTACAAACAATCAATCAGTATGTAAAATATGAAGAATTTGTGATAAATAATTTTTTTACATAATGAGCGAAAACCATTCTGGCATTAAAGGAATATGTGGTCTTGACCTTTGAACTAGTGACATCAAAATCAATAGGAGTAACCTACTACATATGACTAATCAATTTTTATTAATAATGGAGACCTTGTAATGAATAGTTTGTAAGAAAATGAGCGAATTACCGCCCCTGTGGCCTTGACCTTTGATCTAGTGACCCAAAAATCAATAGGGTTCATCTAATTATTATGACAAATCAGTATGTAAAAATAAAGTCTTTGTAGTAAATAGTTTTTAAAATAGTTAGCGGAAACCATCTGGTCTACCGACATACAGACAGAGTGACAGACAGACCGACATTAGCAAAACATTATACCCCCTCTTCTTCAAAGGGAGGGGGCATTTAAATATAGAGGGAAACAATGTGTATTTAATTACTGGATCGATCTACAATCATTCGAAATGTATCATTTAAATATCCACATGAATACGTATTATTTCCTGGAAAAAAATCAAATAGTTCTAATTCGTGGTTTAGTACAGACAATTATATGATGAACAAGTTACATTGAAATCCCTCTATGCATGTAGAAGATTTGCTCCGGACAAGCGTTTTTCAATGACTTCAAAGTGTGACCTTGACCTTTGACCTAGAGGCCTGGTTCATGCGCGCGACACGGTTTCTCATAGTGGTTAATATTTCTATGAATTTTCATTAAATACCTCTATTGGTGTAGGAGATATGCTCCGGACAAAAATTGGACGTCGCCCGCTTGCCAACCGGCCGGCCAAGGGGGAGAAACTATAATACGACCCGTTTTTCAAACGGGCGTGTGAAAGGTACAAAAATGATATAATGGATAATAACATTTTGGTATCTGCTATAGATAAATATATCAAATAGGATCACGTATCTCACATTTACAAACAACATTAGTATATACGTTTTGTGGTTTGTTGTCATTTATGATACTAAATACTATCACTATCTTCTATATTTTCTTATCCCTCTAATGACAATGTACAAACGAATAATTAGATAGACACATAGTTGTGCAGGTGTCAAATTTGTGAATCGTGTTTGGGATAGTTTTGAGAAAATACTAAAGAATAAAGTCACAGATGTAAGATTATTATTATTTATCCAAAGATTGAATAGACCTTCCTGGAAGCATGTTAAAAAGGAACTCAAGAATATGACTTAAGTTAAATGTTTGATACCTTTTAGATGTCATCTTCATCTTACTTCTTGATATAGAGCCGATCTTCGGGAATTCTGGAAATATAAAGGACACCGATTTAATGAGGTTAATATGTTTGTTATATTGCCTATTTGCTAGCTTTATCGAACAATTAATACCGATAATTTCAAAGAAATGAATGACAAATGAAACGATCACACACAGTTTATCAAACTCTACAATACATTTATTAAGACGTAAAAAAGATAACCTATACATTTCCTTACGATATCATACTGCATGTGCTATTTTCCCCCGATATTACAACACATAATGGTGGTTTCTATGTAGTGAATATGTTACCTGTCTTATTTATATGTATAAATAAATACTTTTATTCAAGTTTTCATTACGTCATTATCAGAAGGTATGAAATGAAATGGTATATTACATAAATGTTTATTTTATTTGACCGATGCTTAATATTGATGATTATAGTTTTACTGTTAATATCATTTTATTGAGAATTCGTTTCGAGAGCACCCATGCAATGGACATGTGAATTTACCTGTAACTAAATGGATAAAGGTTTTTGTATGTGTTTACCTCCTGAATATTCCTCTTCTATCTCTTGAAAGCCATCCATTGTTTTACTGTAAAGATAAAATAATACTACTAAAAACCCACTCCCTTCGATACACCGGAGTAAGATTTTTTTTAAAAGGCGTGGTTATTTCAATATGAGTCATTACTGTAATGAATAAATGTTTTGATTTTGAAATTTTGATTTACATTGACTTTATTAGTATTTTATATTTCATTACATGACTTAGATATGATAAAGTATAATTTGGTATTTCGTGTCGGATAGTCGTTAGTACCTGCTGTTAACCCATATCCATTAAAATAATCTAAACCATGTTGGAAATAGTTCTTACTTTTTCGCCTTCAGCCTTTATTTTCCCAACATGACCTTATTCTCCAAATAGATAGTCAAATATCTACATTACAAGATTACATAAAATGTTCATTCTTTAATTAATGACAAAACCGTTACTACACACATGCAAACGGGCATATTATCATAAAATAGTAATTTACTGATGTAACCATTTGAACAAAAGTATCCTCATGTATGGTTTGAAAGGGACTTACTCATTTGATAAAAAGAAACAAAAAAACCTTCATGATTAGATAAATTGAGCTCGAAACAAACCTTACTTAACAACCTAAAATGATATATATATAAAGAAAGGATTGTCCTAGTCTGATAATACAATGTATCCGTTTATTATATATAAAGAGAAAACAAAATATGGTTTTGTATTTATTGATGACATGGTCACATTTTATTGATAATGAATCATGAATAGTTAAGTTTGCTTTGATAATCACCTGGACACCTTAGATGGCGTGTGGCGTAATGTAATGTTATCTAGGGCATCTATGTGCACTGGTGTACCCCTCAGATCAAGATGAACCGTCTGAAAAGTATACGATAAGTGATACTTCAGAAATGCTACCGTTTGATTGCAAAGGGTTTATAAAGACTAATCAGTTTTTAAATTTTAGTCGACTTATTAACGTATCGATCAACATTCACAACTTTTTGTGATCTTCATTTTAGATATGTATGACAATAACGATACAGAGATACACTGCCTAAATAAAAGATACATCTGTTCATGGTAGCATCATTTTCACATTTATAAGATATTAATGGCAGTTATGGAGAGATTAAGAACTTTATTAGATGTTCTATTTTCGTCGCATCATTGAGTTCAAATCGAATATAGCTGGTAAAATTACATGCATGATTGTCCTCTCAAATGTTATAAATATCATTATATTGTTGTTGTTGATTATTACATATTTAACCATATAATAAAGACGGGAGATAATAGTACATAACAGATAACCTTATTATGAAGTCTATGAACATCTTGCAAGCTTTGATGTTTGCGGACGAATGTTATACCGTCGCTGTGGCGAGTGGCTTCATACTCATGTTCTAGATCACCTGAAATTGATATTTTATTTACATAGATTTTATTTTTTCATTTTTTTTTGCAAATACACATACATCAACAAACGTATTTTAGATACATCTCGTCTGCTGACTTGAGGCTAGACGTATTTGAAGGTAAATGTCTGTTTGCTAGGGTTGTCTTTGGATATGTACCCCAGAAAATTTTAATTCTAAAATTTAATGTTAAAATAATTGCGTAATTGTGAATATATTGAGCACAGCTTAAAACATTTTGGATGAAAAGTGTATGCCCAGAACTTTTGGACTTTTGAGTTTCACAAATTAATAGATCACATACGGATCATTAAAATAAAATAGCATGATAAAAGACTTCAGGAAAGGAAAGATAATTGTTCAAATATAACCTGCGTGATCTTCTTCCTTAGACGTGAATCTCCAGTGATCGCCATCATCTACCTGTAACATTAGATAATATTTTGTCTCGATTTAAATTTTCCGATCTTAACTTTGAAGAGTAAGCATGTCTCAACTTTGTTTATGACAATGTTCTTTATGCAATCAGAAACCGAAACCTGTTTGCAAATATTTTTAAGTATTTAAGATGCTAAGACAAAACGTCGTCATCTATTTTTCTCCTCAGGTCTTTATATGTATTCTATTGAATGACACACTTACACTCTTCACCACTCGTTTATGCGTTAAAATTGTCAATTCTTGATATTTTGAAGTAGCTCACTAATGGAAATTATAAGTTAAAGAAATATGTTTTAATTGAGCCCCGATGTAAACACAATACAATCCATTTGATTTATGGAAAACTGTGAGGATAAACTAAAAGAAAAACATCAACAACTCTTCAAGTAAAGATGAAACTATTTTTTTGCATTTATTTCTTTTGTTTAACAGTAGGGTGCGGAATAGAACAGCCAAAAATTCGGCAGCGGAAATAATATATAATTGAGACTGATGTAAGTTCTTTAAAAGCAATATATGATATGCATTACCTGTCTTTTTACGGACAGAGTGCTTGTTAAAACTTTTTTCATTGTTAGGACTTCATTCTTTTCTTCTGGGTGGAAATGCACGAATGTCACGACACTGTCGTTCCCAACCGTGAAAAAGAATCTAAAAATAGATCAGCTTATGATTATTTCTCTTCTATAACTTTCATTGTGTACTTTTGTGCCTAGTTTATTTAATGATTAAATGCTCACATGCAAATGATTGTATCCTTATAATAGTTTTAAAATGATTAGGTGCAATTTAATCAAACTTACTTATGAGTAAATTGCCAATGCTCGGGGTTGTCCACAACTGAAATGGAAGTTAATGGAAACATTAACATGTGTAAAAAGGTGCTAAACATTTAAGCCAATAATTAACAAAGTCAATAGTAGGGTACAATGTCATTGCTGAATGCTCCCACTCGGACTTTTTTTCCTTTTTTTGTAGAAAATCCGTCGACTCGAAGGTAAAATACGATTTTATTATAAGAAATAGTTAATCCAAATATAATGTAGCGCACCAAATAATTTGTAAGAAAAGTTTATAGATTAATAGATTTATTGCCTGGATAAGGCCTGAAAACGGGATAAGGTATTTTTCTCCAACTGCTTCAACTTAATACATTTGTATTTTCACAACCTATAAGAAATTAGGATAAAAACCTTCTTCAAACCATTTTATACGTACTAGAGCGTAAACCGAGTAATGTTTACACATTCTACTAGATTGGTTTCAAAAGTCCTTTTTTTAATTTGTTCATAATGATTATCGAAAATGCTCCTTACTCGGCCTCAGAAAGTTTGCTACACACAATAAGTACTATATACTTTACACATACCTTTACAAGTAAATTATCTAAAGGATAAATATACCAGTAAAATACACATTTTCACTATACACAAATCCATTCTTTGTTCTCCTATGTTTTGAGAGTTTTCATATAATATTCTTCAATAGCCCGAATTCTAAATAGTAAGATAGATGTAAAACTTATTAAAAAATGTTGATTGAAAAGATATGTCTTTTTTAGAGAAATTTTATTTGTATTCGCTTTAAAATAACTGCATACACACACAGCATAAGTGGCCTGCATGTATTCAATTATTGCTGAATATAATATTTTGTTCATAATTTAAAACGGAATGACTTACTTGATCGTTGAACTTTTGATTTGAGATTTTAAATCATCAAAAATGGTAAAATTGGAATACGAAGAAGTCAATATTTATCGGTTAATTTGAGTAGTTTAATAAAGAACATCATGTGAATACTTTTTGTCATGAAGAAGTTAAAAATCGATTTGCTGCCATTCCATGGCACATAAAACATGCATCACAATTATTGACAATTTTGACTATTCAAATACCGATAGTAAGATGTTATAATGTAGTTTTCGACATAATTCCTGATGGGTTGTTGGAAAAGTCAAAATGGGAGCATTCGGAGAAAAGACACTTATCCCGTTTAAGGATTATACCGGGTAATGAATCTATATTTTTTTTATAATTACTTCAAGTGCGCTACATAAAATTTTGATACTCTATTTCTATATAAAATCGTTTTTTACCTACGAGTCGACGGATGTTCTAAAAAGAAATGGTCCGAGCGGGAGCATTTGCAGGTGTGCTATGACGTAGTATCCTAACATTGAAAGTTATAGACATTATTTTTTGGAGTTCACTTGTTGATAGTGCAAAACTATATGTGTGTTTTGTAAATGTTTAGTCTGCGCTTCAGATTTGTATTTGTACACTGATAAGTTATATTGCAATAAAGACCTGTGTATTTGTCGTTCAGATAGGCCTAGATAAGTTATAGACACGTTGATTAAGTTGTTACATACAAATATAAGATAAATGGACTTGTCAGACACATTTCTTTTACGTTTATTAATTGTGCTGCGATACACGACTAATAATAATGCTCCTGATATTTAAAAGCAAACACTCTTTGATTAATATCAAGATTAATAACTCTCGTATTTTAAGTTGTTTAATTTATTGACATAAATTAAGAGTACTTCCTTGTAATATCTCCAATTTTTTTTATAAATCAATGACTAATATATCAGTTGTTAAATTAGTGTTTATGTTAGGTAATATATCATTCGTTTAATCTATGTTTTAGTCCTCTAAAAAATCGGCCTGACCTTCAAAATTGATAAAAGCATGACAAAGCCACTCTTGTTTTGGATCGATAAAAAGCTATGCAAGCAAATTGAATAAATCTAATAGATAGGTTAAATGATTTATTTTTAAATCAATAAATAATTTCTAAATATTTTTTTCCAATTTAGAGTATTTCTCTAGTTAAATAGTTAATCTTAACTTTTATGTTGATGTTAAGGTTAGATATTTACAGTGACATTATGCCCATTAAAGTACAAATGTTGAGTAAACAGGTTAAAATCAAAATAACTTGCCACTTTGTTGAAATTGTGTTTAATTTCATATTTCACTATAAAAAATCAATACGGATATTTACGAAGCCCCTCAGGTGACATTTTCTATAAAAAAAATCAATACGGATATTTACGAAGCCCCTAAGGTGACATTTTCTAAACACTTTTTCGTAATTACGAAATATTTATTAGTTATTACGAAATATTAATTCATTTTTACGAAATAATACTTCTTTTTTACGAAATAATATTTTGTTTTTACGAAATATCAATTCGTAATTACGAAATATTAATTCCTTTTCACGAAATCGTATTGAAGTTCATTATGAGCTTGATAAAAACCTTCTAACCACACAATCAAAAGGAGTCATTTTCAAGTCTAAATCAACCTTGCCACAAAATATAACGATTATAAACCGAATGGTTATCAAGTTTTTAATATTTGGTGCACGGGGGTTTTAAAGGGGGAAATTTCATTCTCAACCCAAAAAACTTTCTTTTTTTTCCCCCTTTTATCAAAAAAATTTTCCCCAAAGCTAAAAAAATTAAAAATTTTTTAAATTTTTTTGGGCCCAATTAATCTTTTTTTTGACATGTTTTTTTAAAAAAAAAACAGGCTATATTAGAAATTTGTTTAATTTAAATAAGTAAATTAAATATTTGCCCTGTTATTTGTCCGGGGGCAGCCCAAGGCCGAAAATCATTTATTTATTGACAATTTTATTAAATAAATTCTTGCAGATATCTATATCATAATTATGAATCATTAAATAACTATACGTTATTAGTCCTATAAAAAAGCACCTGCCACGTTAAATAACACGATGGCCTGCCTTAAAACAGGGCTAATATCTATATCACTTTTTCGGCCCCGGCCGAAAAGGGATATAGACATAAAGCCTGCATTTGAAGTAATTTGATCGGCTAATAAAGCAGGGCCAAAAATGATATAGATATCTGCAAGAAACTGGAAAATGGCAGCCATTTTGTTTTAACTCGGTCTATGTGTAGACGCCAACAGGTTGCATAAATGAAACAAAATATTTTCAGTTTCTAAACATTCACAGTCTGACATTTTGTTGTACATGTACAATATTAGTTACAAATAAAAATTTTTTAAAATTTGTAGTTATTTTACAGTTTTTCTTTTTAAAATTTAAAAATATGTTAAAAATTTTAAAAAAAAGAAATACCCGAGGTTTTAAATGGAAATTTTAAATTTTTTTTAATTTTTGGCCCATTACCTTTATTAGCCCAAATTATTGAAATTTATTTACAAAATTCAACCCCTCTTTGACACCCGAAAAAATTGAGATTTTTCCCCTTTAATAGCCTGAAATCGATTTAAACAGAAAGATTTTGCCTCCTCTTTTTAAAAATCTTTCTTTTTTGTTTGCGGGAAATTTTGCATCAGGGTATTTAGCTACAACCCCAATTCCCGGGGTTTAACCCCTTTTCAGAAAATTTGTACAAAACTGTCAACCATTAACTGGTGTAAAACCCCAAAACCCCTTTCTGTATATTTCCCGCCCGGCCCGGAACTGCAAAATGGGTTTTTATAAATTTAATATTGTTTGTTATAACAGGCATTCAGACAGGCACGTTTGATAACGTTACAAGTCCTGTCGTTATGAAGAACTTTCTAAAAACAGGTTATAAGAATATAGCTTCTCTATATACCCTTATACAACAACAAAACATTTTTGCCTAATTTTGGTGTCAAAAACAATAAAATCCGTTCTTGCAGCCCTGTCCCACAATATATATTTAGATTTTAGTACTGTTTTGCTTGGACTTAGATAACTTTTCTAGTACTTTGATCATATTTTAAACTATTTAAAAAGTAATAATAAGAAACTATTTCATTATTTAATGTAGAATTTGAAAAAAAAAGTTTTAATATAAATAGTAAACAAAGGGAAAACCTTATAGGTCATTCAACATGACACAATTGAAAATTCCATTAGTACGTTTCATTGAGACAAAAAATACAAACTTTTGTCTTTGTTCCCGAGCACCCGCCTTCACTTGATTCATTAGTTAAACATACAAATGTATTAAGTACATGTACAACAAAATACCTAGATTTTAAAAAAACTTTAAAAATCATTTCGTTACATAAATTTAAATCATTTTTGCTTGCACCCGGTAGTTATATTCATTTGATAAATGACAGAAAATGTAAATGTAATAGCATTGGTAAATGAAATGTTCACTTGTCATAACTGTTCACTTGAAAATAACAAGTGACACATGCACTAACTATAACTAGTGACATGTGCACTTACTATACCAATGACATGTGCACTCACGATAACAAGTAACATTGGCAATAACCATAGCACTAACTATAACTTCTTAAAAGTGTACTATAAATATCCAGTAAAATGTGCACTAAAAACAATGCTTACGAACCCTGCACTAACCATAACTAATGACATTTGAACTTCACATAACAAGTGACATGTGCAATAACCCTACCAAGTGACACATATACTCAGCATAACTAGTGACAAGTGCATTTACCATAACTAGTGAAATATCGAAATATTTAACCAAAGGAACACTAGCTGTCGGTGAAATATAATTCGTTTTAACACAAAACATATTCTTCATATGCTTTATTCGTTCTACACAACTTAGTAATGCTATAAGATTTGTAGAATTATTCTAGATTTAAATGAAGTGAAATATCTAGCTACTCGCATGTGCTTGCAAAATAGTTTTTATTTACTCCACGCTATTTTTATACAATTTTCATCCGCATTCAAATTAAGTATTGATATTGATATTTTTACTGCGATATTGCATTAAAACAATCAACTGCTTTTATCTGGTAAGCTACTTCAAAGCATTTCAATAAACAAAAAAATGCAAAAATATAATACATGCATTGTTTCATC